ATATATAAGGGTAAATTTCTTAAACTACCCTTGTGGTTTAGTTAATTGACTAACTCTACCCTTGTGGTTTAGTTAATTGACTAACTCTACCCTTATTATTTGAAAATTGACTAAGTGTACCCTTACTATTTCTGACAATTGACTAAGTGTACTCTTAACCGTTAAATATGGATGGAAAAGGTAAAATGCCCGTTATACCCCTATGCAAAATTACATTTTTATCCCTGTTTTTAACTTAACTCAATCCCTCTCAGACAGGCTGCCATCGCCATCATCACCGACGGAGGTCACTGCAAATACCAAACGGCAGAGGTCTGACAGAAGTTGACTCCGGCCAACGATGAACGACGCTGGAACCACCACAGTCCAGTAATTTTTTGCTTTCTATAGCTTTTGTATTGTTGTTAGAGTGAATGATAACACAATCCAGTAATTTTTTGTCTTTTATCTCTTTTTTTCTTCACCCCCAGCATGGTGGAAAGGCATGGTCTCGTTGCTTTCTGTAGCTTGCTTGGCCTTGGCAGCAAAAATGGAGGAAACTGATTGCCCCCAACCCATAGATTTACAGGTAGAACAAAAACCCATTCCACCAAATCATGAATAGAAACCAAACGAGAGCAAAACAAAACCATCATGCCATGTTCATTCCTTTATGTGTTTCAGACTTCTGAGATGGGTTTAACAGTTTAAAACCATCTTCAGGTGATTGAAGGGAAGCCGGTGTTCGAAGCTCGGGCGATTTAGAGAATGGAGCTTATGTTGTTGTCAGTACTTAAATGGAGAACAAACGCAGTGACGCCTCTTTCTTTCAGTGACTATTTCTTGTGCAAACTCAAAGACCCAAAACACCCAAACCCCATATCTCTGATTTTTCATTCCGTAGAGCTGATTTTAATCACCACCAAAGGTTTCTAACGCCTCTATTTCTCTTTATCCCATCCATATTCAATCTCGAAATCTTAAAAATAACAAATTTCATATATTGTTTCCATTGCTCTCACTAAATGGGCAGGAGTCGAATTCTTGGAGTTCCGGCCATCAAAGATTGCATTAGTTGTCGCAATCTCCATTGTTGGAGAAAGCCATACCATCGATTTCGAACGCACCTTCCACTCTTGTTCTTCTTTTTCTTTGTCCCATCTAAACAAAAACAGGCAAAACTCCCAGAAATCTTCACTGTTAAATTTCCTTGCTTTCTAAAGTCGTTCGTCGTCGGCTGGAGTCGACTTCCGTCGGACCTCCGCCATTCGGTATTTGCAGCGACCGCCGTTAGTGACGATGGAGATGGAAGCCTGTCTATCGAGTTAAGTTAAAATAGGGATAAAAATGTAATTTTGCATAGGGGTATAATGGGAAATTTACCTTTTTTGTCCATATTTAACGGTTAAGGTTACACTTAGTCAATTGTCAAAAACAGTAAAAGGTACACTTAGACAATTTTTAAACAATAAGGGTAGAGTTAGTCAATTAGCTAAACCATAACGGTAGTTTAAGAAATTTATATATAAATATATCAAATGATTAAATTTTAATTTCTATCTCCTCTTCAATAATCGATACACGATACGTCGATACCTAGCCTTTTCGGCTTTTTCCTTTTCCTGCCCTTTTGTCACCTTCACCGCGCCATCAAGCACCTTCCACCGTGCCATTAACATGCCTTCATGGTGTCATCATGTGTCATTGGTGGGCTATGCATGTACCTTTGTAAGGGGGGTCTGCCAATGGCATTATTGTAATTACCTTGTATGATTTTCCTCTCTCTTGATGTTTCCTTTTGTCACTCCCCCAAAAGCTTAACATACTTTTTGAGGGGAGGTTGGTAGTCGAGTGAGTCAATAGCGTGTAAAGGTTAGGCACGAGATCCCCTCGACACTGAATTGTGTGCTTGTGCTTACCATCAATTAATGCAATACAAGTTGACTTTTGACTAATTTGTGTGCCTTCTTGTTGCCTTTTGTATTTGTTACTTGCATTTGTAAGCTTTCTCGACCCCATCGAGCGTCGCACGGAGTCTCATTGACTAGCCCCGTGACAGTTGGTATCAGAGCAGGTTGCTCTTCAACACATGTGACCCTTGCATAGAAAATTTAGTGGTGGCACAATGAAGCACAACAAGGAACTGACCGACGAGATTCAACATGGCCTTGCCCATGCGAGGGAGACTGATGAGGCACTAGGCAATGAAGCCGTCACAGAGAAGTCCCCCAAAGGCCGCCCATCCAAATCAAGCAAGCGCAACAAGTCGGTTGACAAGCTTGTTGCCTTCGACACGTGCATTCTTCGTTGCGAAGTGACTGTTGGGGAGATGTGTGACCGAGTAGAAGAAATCCACCTACATGTGAAGACCATTGAGAGCTCCATGGTGGAGCTAGAAGCCCGCTTGAATGGCATCATGAACGAGGTCCAAGACGCCCGGAATGGCAACCTCAAGGAAGTCCTTGGCACAACATCCCGACAAGAAGGGAGCTCATCCCGATCCAACATCCAAGACCAAGTTGACGAGATGAGAGCTGAATGGTCGACATGGAAGAGAGCCATGCCCCCACCTACAGCCGTTCAAGTACAACTAGAAGACATTAGAAGAGAGTGGATGGCCATGAATGCTGCCATGACCGCTCCTACCGACCGCCAGGCAAACTGAATGAACTAAGAGGAGACATGATGCTCCTCAAGAGACTAGTGGCCAGCACTCCTAGTCCTTCCCCAACTCTGGCTCCTACTCGTGTAAAGATCCGGGATCCCACACCTTATGCCGGCTCCCGAGATTCTCGACAACTAGACAACTCCTTGTGGCAAATGGAACAATATTTCCTTAACGCTAGCATTGATGATGACCTAACTCAGGTTCGTACTGTGATTATGTATTTGGCTGACATTGCTATGCTATGGTGGCACAGGCGATGCCAAGACATTGAGCGGGGCACATGCACCATTAACACATGGGCCACTTTCAAGCGAGAACCTGGCACGGAAAAAGTTGAAAGCACTCGAACATGCAGATTCACTCCACGACTATGTCAAAGAGTTTTCAACCCTTACCCAAGAGATCACGGACATGCCCGACAAGGATCTATTGTTCAACTTCATGGACAGACTAAAGCCATAGAACGAATTAGAGCTCCAACGCCGCAACGTGCAGGACCTTGCCACCGCAATGGTCATGGCAGAGCAACTAAATGAGACAAGCTTGTTAGATGAAGAATCCCCAAAGCCAACCAGCCCACGTGCCTTGGACTTGAGTGGGGCAGCCAATCAGTCATGCCCTCCTCACAACAACTCAAACTTCAACAAGCCAGGTAGACAAGATTATGGGAAGAAGCCACAAGAAGATCAAGGTTGCCAACACAGCTACAAGCCTAGAACCACTAGACCCCCACTCTCTGGCTTTATTTGTGAGGAGAAGCATTTGGCTCGTGATTGCCCAACAAAGAAGAAGATCAATGCCCTTGTCGCCAAGCTCAGTGATGACGAGCAAAGTGACGAGGAAAAGTCAGTGCAAGCGCCAAGAGTGGGTGCACTTCAACTTTTCAATGCAATGGTGAAGAAGGAGGCCACACCAAGGCGGCCTAACAAAGCCCATAAGGGGATCCAATATGTTAACATCACCCTCGGCGGGAAGCCGACCCAGGTCCTAGTAGACACCGGGGCCACACACTTCATTTCCATTGCTGAGGCCAAGCGACTAGCCCTTCCAATCACTAAGGAGACAGGCTGGCTCAAAGCTATAAACTCTGGTGCCAAAGCTGTTGAAGGCCAGACCCGTGGGGTAGACCGCCAAGTTGGGCCTTAGAAGGGAAAAATTAATTTATCTATGGTACCCTTGGATCACTTTCAAGTTGTCTTGGGGATGGATTTTCTAATGCAGGCAGAAGTAGCCCTTATGCCACACATCAACTCATTATGCATCCTAGACGAGAGCTCCCCTTGCATGGTGCCAGTTACAACCTCCACCAAGGTCTAAAAGAGACAAGTGTCAGCACTGCAACTCTTACACATTGAAGCAAAACCTAGAACCAGCGTGAAGCATGCAGTAGAGAAGACCTCCACTCACCCTGCCTCAGCTGTGAAGCACCAATCAAGTGAAGACACCAACATGAAGCAGCAGCAGTGGCAACAACAGCCCTCCAAGTCAACCTCAGCACCACAGCGTTAGCAGAAGCCGCTTACGCCTTTGACTGACGAGCCCAATAGAAGACCCAATGTCATGTCTGATTTCACCTACACCTACTACCACAACCACCAAGGAGAGTGAGTGCCACCCAAGCCATCTAGGGACCACTTTCGCACCATTCCTCAGACTAAATCACATAGTAGCCCTGTGAGAAGTCACCATTGGGGAAGAATTCATGGGAACCAATACCCCAGCAATCCAAAAAATCATTTTGACCCTAACCTGGCCCAGACCTTCCCTATAGCCAAGCTGAACCAGCCACTATCATACCTTGAAGCCGCCAAGAAAGGACTTAGACATAGGAAACCCCAACAAAACAAGCCAACCCAACCATGCCATCCAAATATGCACCTCGGCCTTGGACGATAGCCGATTCGTGGATTAGCAGAAGAACCCTCCTTCCGCATCAATGACTCTAAGGGACTAGCCGAAGCCGATCTCCGAGGACATAGATCGAATTGATTGGGGGAGACTGTCACAAGTGACTCGTTCACCGCACCATCAAGCACCTTCCACCGTGCCATCAGCGTGCCTTCATGGCGTCATCATGTGTGTCATGGGTGGGCTATGTATGTATCTTTGTAAGGGGGGGTCTGCCAACGACATTATTGTAATTACCTTGTATGATTTTTCACTCTTTTGATGTTTTCTTTTGTCACTCTCCCAAAAGCTTAACGTACTCTTTGAGGGGAGGTAGGTAGTCAAATGAGTCAATAGCGTGTAAAGGTTAAGCACGAGATCCCCTCGACACTGAACTGTGTGCTTGTGGTTACCATCAATTAATGCAATACAAGTTGCCTTTTGACTAATTTATGTGTTTCTTGTTGCATTTTGTGTTTGTTGCTTGCATTTGTAGGCTTTCTCGACCCCATCGAGCGCTGCACGGGGCCTCGTTGAGTAGTCATGTGACACTTTTGCGGTTTTACTTTCACTTTGGTTTTCTTCTCAGAGAACGCAGAACACCGGTGACCGGAAGACTGAAGCCACGCGAAGGTCCGTCCTTGCGATTGCCGCTGCCACAGTGGCAGTTTTACTTTTAAGAACACCGGTGATCGAACACAGCTTTATTATGTTTTGTTTTACTTCTGCAGTTTTACTTCGCCGCTGCCACTGGTTTCGCCATTGCCGCTGGTTGTTGTTGCCGATCAAACCTTCGCCATCTGTCTTTGAGATTGCAGTAAGCTCTCTTTCTTTCTCTCTCTTATTCTCATACAACGAAACCCTAACTATTTTCGCCAACTCACCGCAGGATAAATTTTAAAGTGGCCTATTACTATTAGTGATTCATCTTAAAGCAACCAAAACACTATCTATATGTATTCTCTATGCTTGAGAGTTGTGAGTTCAAGAAAACACTTTCATGTTATACAACTTTGAATGTGTCTAACTATTGTTTATGGTGTTATTCAGTTATTCTCATATTGATATGTATGTTCTTCTTGTTTTGTCATATTGATATTGTCATATTTGGTGATATTTATGTTATTCTTGTTTCGTTAATCGTTTTTTTTTTCTATGCTAGTTTTATAATCTAAGGTGCAAAGTCCCCAAACTAAAAAGGTTTGATTTGATTGAGAATTTCTCGAACCGTAATTTACTGATTTGGTTTGAAAATTTCTCCAAACTGGACCGCGAACAAAATTAGACGTCGTGAATTGAGGTAGGGATCTGCTACCAATGAAATGCTCCCAAATTGTTTCCCAATAGTCCACTGCAGCCGCACATTGGGAACATCTCCGCATGAACAGTGTCTCGTTGGGACAAGTTGGGAGCGTTTCATTGCTGGCAGATCTGAAGTCCGTCAATTGTATAGAATTCGGGGTCGCCCTCTTTTCTTCATCCTTTGTACGTTGTTTTTCTTCTAAATCCGTTTCTAATTTCAGATCGCACTGTGAATCAAACAGGTATAAAATTCTAGCAACAACGATCAACCTTTTATATTGATCAATTTGGATCTCCTTTGGCGGCCTTCTCTTTGTTTTCTTTCTGGTACGCCCCTCTTCACTTAGGTTTATTTTGAGAAAAAAAGGTTTTCAGAAAAAGAACCTCTCCAGTATCTCTTGTATAACCAGATTTTCTGGAGAATTGAACTCAAAGTTGATTTCCAGTAGCTTTATTAATATCTAAACATAAGGTGTTAATCATTGATCTCACTGAGAGTCTGAGACCTGGGTTTAATTGATGATCTGAAATAGTTGTGGAACCTCATTTCATATTTCTGTTTTTTCCTTTTTTAAATCTCTGGCACTTGGAGCACTATTCACAGAGAGAAGCATTGAATAACACCATTTAGGAACTCTTGGTTGAATTTTAATTTTAATGGATACACCTCGACCATCCACAGCTAGTTTACTGATATTAAACTCTGAAACAATTAAAGAGTTCATATTTTAGCTTCAGAATTGAAGTTTTGGATAAAAGTCTAGTTCTTGGGTGGAAATAACTCAAACTTCTTTAGATTGAGAGGTGGCCTTTTCCAAAGTCGGGGCTCCACACGTGAGCGTGTCATATTCATATAGTTAAACAGTTTCAAATTTCATCCTTAGCAATTTAAGGTGTCTCAACCATTCAGAATTGATCGCATCAGCCTAACTTTGTCATATCCAACTTCATTTATTTAAATTTTGGCGATTTCACAGTGGATGAATCCTTGTAGTAACTCCACGGGATGCATTGTACACACAATTTAGAATACAAAAGGAACTTTTATGGAGGATTCCCTGATGGAATCTGGTTATAAGTAGATTTCATATAAGTTAAGATGCACATGTCTGCAAATTTTCATTGTTAGTTATTTCTCCATAAACTTCATACCAGACCCTAAAAATAAAACATATTTCCAAACAACACTAAAAAAATGTAGCTTCAGTCTTCAACCTTCAATCCATATACTGCATTACCACTTGTTATCTGCTTCATTGTAATCATATTGCCTTTCTTCTTTATTTTATTTCTTGTTATTCATCAATAAGGTATTATTTAATTTTTCTTTCTAAAATTCAGGAAATTGTATTTGAGATTGGTAACTACCGTCTTCTCTGAATGGATTGGGGAAATGGCTATTGCTTCTTTTTGACACTTCCAAATCTCACCATTTCCTTTCTCATCATTGCTTTCACTGTCATTACCATTCGGATTGTTTATGTGATACACCGGAGCAGTAGACCTCTTTACACCTCACCTCCACAATCTCTCAGCACTCTTATTATCCTAGGTTCAGGTCAGCTCTCATTACTCAATCATCGTTGTTGCCATTATGATTGTTGTTACCATTACCATTACTGTGGGCTATGATGATTATGTAGGAGGTCACACTGCTGAGATGATTAATCTGTTGTCTGTGCTTCAAAAGGATAAGTTTACACCAAGGGTCTATATTGCGGCTTGGACTGATAATATGAGTCTTCAAAAGGCTCGAGTTTTGGAAGAATCCTTGGTTGATCAGGTACATAATAGATAATTTACAAACTTACAATAACTTTTCTTGAGTTTTGATACAAGCCTCTTGTGTTTTTATGTTGCATTGTTTTGTTTTCCTTGCATCATTACAATGAATTGTTTATACATATCCTAATTGGAGTTGGGCCTGAGTTGAATTGAAAGAATCTTGTGGCCAATCTGAACCATCCAAGGGTAGGGGTTTAGGGCACCCTACAGGTAGAGCATGAGCTTCACTCTCCCAGTCCATATCATCATAACGTTGTATTGGAGGTTCCTTCTCTAATAATAGCTATTAAAACACTCAGTCTTTTTTTTTTTTTTTTTTTAGTTCAGAAAAGTTCATACAGGAGGGCCTACATTAAACACATGTAAAGTTTTTGATGTTGAAACTTGTCTCATTACTAAAGGTCAGAGAGAGGGGGGGGGACTCTTTTGGGCCCAAATAAGTCAGCACTGTAGAGGTTAGTGGGAACTGCTGTTTATTTTATGTAGTGGAGGGTATTTTGGTGTTTTTATCATTTTTAACTTAAGTATATACTTTAATAGAAGTTGGAATATACCAGCACTTTCTTTCTTTCTTGGTTGTTTTTCCTCTTTCTCCACTCTCTTATCTCTTTTTTTACTCTCTTGTACACTGCTGTTTCTCTCTTCCTCTTTCTTACATGTCCCTTCCCTCCTTTCATTATCCACCCCTCACCTCTCTTTGTCTCTCTCAAATTACATGGGCTAGTACTTTATAATGTTCACACTTTTAAAATATAAAAGTTGGTGCACTTTAACAAAGTGTACTATGAAAAACCTTTATTTGTTAGAAGTTTAACCATGAAACTTTGCTTTGAAAACATATTTGAAGCATTATATAAACATATTAAATGGGATAGTACCCATATCCATATCCAGGTCCATGTTGGTACCTGTATCTAAGCATTATAGATCCATATAACATCTTAAGCCAACTGAGTACTGACAATCTCTATACATGAAATCACATGTTGGGTGTACAATTATTCTTGGAGTAGTCCACTTCCAAAATTTTATCTAGGAGAGCTCTCCCATGGAATAAGCATCTTCCATCGGAATGTGGAATTGCAGAATGAAACTGCCTGGGAAGAATCTATTCACATGAAATAAAAATCATTCTCAACCACTCCTAAATTATAAAAGTAATTCAACTACAATTGGCAGCCCTATTTGGCAGTTTTAAATGCCATGGTGTTTCTGTGAAGGTTCTGACTTTAGAAGTCCTCCAATATCTCAAGCTTTCGATCTATTTAGATGTAGAGAAATTAGAGATTGTGGGTGATTCCAATGTGGTGATTGGGTGGAACTCAGATTGACTGGTCCATCCATAGTTGTCAAGGCGACAAGGTGTCCTTGGAGGCTCACCTCGCCTAATTGCCAAGCAGTTTTGTATGTTGTGTTATAAAGTACTTTTATATTCTTAATTTAAAATAGACATTATTAAACTAAAATATTCATTTTGTGTGTTTGTATACTAATTTCTTTTTATTATTTTCTTATATGTTACAGTTTAATCAACACAAACATAGCTAACTGCTGTGTTGAACCCTCAAAGGCTTCAAAACCTGAATCAATAAGTAAGGAAGAATTTAAAATTGTGTCTAATCAACACATTTTCTTCTTCTTTTTCTTTTCCTGTAACAAAAATAGGGGTTCAGCCCCTATAATTTTTGAGTTTTCTTTTTTTCTCATGAATATGTTGATTTTCTATACTTTAACACGAAGTTTATACTTTTCTTATGAAAATTATGGGTAGTTATTAAGGAAATATGGTTATGGAACCTAGGGAACTACCCTAGGATATATGTTTTTTACTTAAAAAAAAATCCATCGCTTAGGCGACACCCAGGCGACTAGGTGACAAGGCACCCCCCTGTCGCCTAGCCTTGCCTTGGCGCCTTGAAAACTATGGGTCCATGGTCCTTGTATCATCATATTGGAGAAGCTAGAGCCTTGGTGTTTAGAGTCAATCTCTTGTTCAGATGGACATCAAGGTTGCCTTAATTGTTTGCAGATAGTTTAGTTAGGAGAGGGGTTCAAAGGAGTATTTTGTATTGGGGAACCTTGTATGTATTCCTTTTAGTATCTTCTTATCGTTTGATGGGTTCTAAAAAACAGGATTTCAAGGGCCACTATCACCACTCAGATAAGCAGTCAGTATATGCCTATGAGACAGGACATTGCTTCTGGATGGCAAAAGAAAATTATTTCTTCTTTTTATCCAATTCATCATTTTTGTTTTGGCTTTAAACAGAATGGAATGGAGAAATAGTATTCTTGGAGCCAACCCCATATAGTTGGGATAAGGCTTGGATGATGATCTTTTTTTTTTTGGTCCACTTGGACCTTCTACTTTATGATGTTTAAAGTCCTTTGTTTTTTCTTGTTTTCTTGAGGTTTTCTCTGCAATTTCCTATTACAGTCATTTCTTTTCATTGATGAAGATTTCTTATTACTTCACTTTAAAAGGGACTCAATAGGCTATGGATTTTATTTTTATGGTCAAAACATTGGATTGAAGCAGAAGGGGACTCAAGATTGGTAACAGGATGAATGCGGGAAGAAAATTTGGGGGTATGGACACATAGACAAGCCATGAGAGAAATATGGTGGTTGACAAGGGAAATGAAATTGATGTAAAATTTATTTGGGTTAGAAGTTCACTGATGGTTTAGCTAAACATGGGTCAACCAGGGCTGATTTTTTATTGCAGCATTGTAATAGTTGACTGCTATATGGGGTTCAGCACTCCTCTTTGGGGTGCTTGTTATATACTTCTTATAAATTAATGAAGGAAAGTTACCATTTCAATTCTTGGCAGTGTAGCCGGCCAGAGATAAGTGGAAGAGGAGAGAAAAGAAGAGAAGAGAGAAGGTTTGCAATGTAACAGTACTGGCGGCGCCAGTGTTTATTTTACTATATATAGGGCGACAGAAATAACAAGGGAAAAGACCCTTGTGCCCCTGAGTACAATAACAGACATAACAGAAATAAAAAAACGAAATTAAAAAACACTTTAATTAGCCAAACAGGCCCTAACATCTGCAACTAAGTTATTTTAACATTATTCCAACACCAATAAAAAAAATATTTTTATGGTCAGAGTGGCATTTTGGATAAAAACAAAAGAACTTGTGGATTTTATTATGGATGGCATCATTAAATGATGGGGTCATGGGCTAATGTGGCCTCTTCATCTGTTAGTAGAGGGGTTGGTTGCATCTCATGGTCCCCTCACCCTCCCCTCCCCCAATGAAAAAAAAAAACAATTAAACTTAACTTTGATAGCTGCTTTGTTCGAAATCTGAGAAGATCAGGATACCACTCTATGTGGGATGTTGAAGGAAATTCTCAAGTTGTGATAAGGTTTGTGCAAGGGGAAGGTTAGGTTTATGGGTACCAGAGTATAGAGGCTAGGACTTTGGGCTTCAGAATAAACACCTCATTCTGATGAGTTGGGAGATCAATTTGCCAATAGATTCATTGCAGGGGAGAGGGGATCAGTACAGGTTGTATGGGTGGCATACCATGTCAAGGGTGGCTTTAGGGGAGTCTTGATTATTTTATTTTATTTTATTTCTTTTTTTTTTTTTTTGGGGGGGGGGGTATTATGCATTTGACTGGGGGATATAGAAGAGATTAGAAGCAAAAGAAGAGTAACTTCTTTGTCTCCTAATAAAATTTTTCTCTGATCTGTTAGATTAGAAGCATAAGAAGAGTAACTTCTTTATGATTTCAATCATTATACTGCTTCCTTATTTTCATAAAAAATGTGGTGTTGCTTCTTTATTTTCTAATTAATTAGAATTAAATTGCCTGCCTCTGATTTCTTTGGATTATGATTCTTATATTATTTGGTAATGCAGACAGGTGCTCAGAAGGTTAAAGTTCCCACCCAGTTCATGCAGATATATCGGAGCCGGGAAGTAGGTCAATCGTATTTAACATCTGTTGGGACAACCCTACTTGCTATGGCCCATGCCACATGGCTTATGATTAAAATCAGGCCTCAAGTGGTACTGTTTTCACTTTCTGCTCTTTCTCTCTTCATGTTATTGTGGTCATGACTCTTTTTTGATAGGTAACAGCAACTTTTATTAAAATAAAGAAATCTGTACGTGGCTCAGTTTTGGATTTACTTTTAAATTTCCAGATTAAGGAGCTTGATGCAGACAATTATCTTTTTCTTTCAGATTCTATGCAATGGTCCTGGAACTTGTATTCCTCTCTGTGTGGCTGCATTCCTTTTCAAGGTTGAAAACCTATTCCTTGCTCTATTTGGGATCTCTTAGTTGTAGATCATGAAAGGAAATATTTGATGCAGTATTTATCAAGGATGAAAATATTTCACCACTTTTATGTAGTTCAACATGAGGCAGTTGATAGAAATTTGAATGATTCTTCTGAGCTTTATATCTTTAGTACTGTTTTAAGGCGAGAGTCTAAATCGTCCTTAAATTTTATTCAACTTAAATTGCAGGTAGTTGGAATTAGATGGTCATCCATTTTTTATGTTGAAAGTATAGCCAGAGTGAGGAGGCTGTCTTTAAGTGGCTTGCTTCTTTACAAGTTAGGCATTTCTGATCAGTTCTATGTGCAATGGCCACAACTACAAAAGAAATATCCGCGGGCTCACTATGTTGGTTGTCTTATGTAGCTGTATCACTTTTGCTGCTGCCAGGGTAACCCTTTCTTCTCCCTCCATATTGGGAATCTAATTTAGCATCTTTTTGAATTTCTACTTAAACCATCTCCTTGTATTTCTCTATCTACAGTCTAGTGTAATGGTATTTCTTTTGTATAGACCCTAACAAGATAGTGTGACATTTCCTCTTTGATAGCCCAGCTGTTAACTACATACTGCTACAAGCGAGCATGGTGAATGCACTAATGGATCATGTGCACACTGAAGTAACATGGCAATAATAGATATTGTTCATAGCATTTAACTACAAAGCCACTGACTTCTTATTGCATGCTTGTGTTGTGGAGCCTAGGATGTGCATATTTGATATTTCTAGCCATTAAGTATGGTTTCTGTGTTGGACAACATGAAGCACATGGATTTTGAAAGAGGAAACCTTAGAGATGGTTTTCCTCAATTTCTCTTTTTCTCCCAATGCATTTTCATGGCTAATGGTAAGATTTTTGAGTCCAAAAGTCACATTGGAGAATAAAAGACTGTAGTTCCCTTATTAACAACTCTCTTAAATGTTTGTCTAAATTTAACAAAATAAAAAATAAAAAAATAAAAGCATTGTTTAGTATCACTGATATAGAACCAAGAAACTTTTAGTACAATAGCTCTCTCACTAAACTGATATTATGTTTTATATTTTTCCGATTTAGATTATCGGTTTAGGTTTTTAAAATTCTTTACAGATCAGTAGAGAATCTTGTTAGGAATAAAGAATTAAAGAATTGGCTTTTCCTCATATATGGGTCCCTCTGGACTAGGCTTTGTTTGCAGAGGCCATGTAGAGGCTGACCATCTATGTCTACTCTGACTCAATAGGAGAAGGGGATTTAGTTAGAGCTGAGACTTGGCCTTCCTCCAAGTTTTAAGTTGATGCATTCATTAGGCTTTGAGCACATGTTGGTGGAAAGTGATTATTAAGTTTTGATTGCATGGATGAAAGGTTATGAAGGGCTTTGTCTGGAAGAGAACTCCATCATTTACTTATTAAGTTTTGCACATTGCATGCTCACTAGAAAAGGGTTCAAAAGAAGTGTCCATGCCCCCCAAAGGCCTTGGGTGATCCATGCTTGGTTAGCTCCAGAAATTCGAACACTAAAACTTCACTTGATGGGTTTTCTCTTGGATAACCTGATCCCTTGGATCTAAAAAAGTTTTTAGATATTAGGAATACTATTGTCAACTTAGTGAACGTCAGTACATCACTTAGAGTCAAACTCATAGCAATCCTTCAGATGGACTCTAAAAAGAGCAAATAGCTTGGCAGATGAACTGCAAGGAAAAGTTGAGAGGCTCCAGGCCATGGGAGTAAATATTCTTGCTCCCTTATAATGTTTTTGGTCAGCTATGACTGTTGTACTTGTCATCTGAATTTTCATGTAAAAGGCCATTATACTGGATACAGACCTAACTTTGGTCTTTTTTGGCACATAGTGGCACTCTGACTTGAAACTCTTCTCAAATTTGTCAGCCTGAGAATTTACCATTACACCAAGCAATGGCCCATAACTAAATTTCTATGTTTTTTTTTTTGTATTCCAAGTTTTTTGGTGGTGCTGATTCCTGGATTATTTTTATCCTTTTTAATTTGTAGTTTTGTTCTGCATCAATTTGGTATCAAACCAGTTGATCCTGCAACAGACTGAAGGGTTTTTACCTTTTCTTTGTGATTAATTAAAAAAAGAGTTCTGGATTGCAGAAACAAAAACAAATGTAGTTGTTTTAGATTTAAGAGAGAAGAGAGTGGTGCAATCTACCTCAATTTTATGATCTTAGACATCTTAGATGCTTATTGTCTTGGTAGGATTTTATTTACTGAGAAGTTAGAAATGCAGCCTAGAAAGCTATATCTGATCTGAAAAAAAATAATAATAAGAAAATAAAAAACAACAAAATGAATACAAAATAGGAAATATAATAGTGGTATGTAATGCACTCTTGAAATTGATTATTTTGTCAATAAGAGTGATTCAGTATGCAGCTAACTTTTATATAAAGATTAGTTGCGGTTGACAATATGCATGTTGCAGCAATTAGGTTCTACTTTTATCCATGTTTTTTTTTTTCTGGTAAACCACAGGAAAAGAGAAGTCATCATCATCCAATCCTTATCCCAACTATATGGGGTCAGCAACATGAATCATGTTCATTCTGTTTAATGTCCTATCCATTGTTAAATTATGGGCACTTAAATCATTTCTAACTACTTCAACCCATGTCCTTTTTGGTCCACCCCTAGCCCTTTTAGCTCCTTCAACTTGCAAAATATATCACTTCTTCATAGTTAGGTTGGAGAACTAGCAGGGTGGAAGAGATTGATAGAGGGACATGAGAATTAAGTATAAAAGGTGTGAACTTTTGGAAATTGAGGAATATGGAGAGAAGTGCATTTCAGGCCAACTGTGTTGCACAGATGAGGGAATGTGTGGATACAGGGAGATGCAAGAGGTCATGTAAATACATCATGTAGCAGTCTACAACAAGCCAGTGGACACTTAGATGAATCAAAACATTGAGGCAGGACAAGTTTTGGTGGTGTTGATAGTGAAATTGTCAGACAATGAATGGAAGAGGCACAGGGGGAGGAGAATTGAAAACCTGCAGATTGAGTGGTGGTAACCATCCATTTGTTCCTCCCTCCTTTATCATGATATAATCTTCCTGGCAGAGTTATAGACTGGCCACAGAGGAGAAAGAGTGTATCCCTCCAGAAAAAAGAAGGAAAGAAAAAAGGGGAGAAAGTGTGTATGGAGGATCATGCAAAGCCACCGCTTATAATGTTCAAGTTGGGGAATTGGTGATCGCATCATACAGTGAGTTTGTTTCTTCTTCTCCCTGAACCGGAAAACTATAGTTTTAGAGAACTTGTTAGCCTATGGATAATTATTTTGCTGTAAGAGTGTGCACAAATTTCTTAATAAATCGAACCGCAGAATTCTGTGATCTTCTGTGAACACAAGTGTGTGAACCAGGCTACGTAACCAATTACAAGTGAATTCACAGCAAATATGCCCTGTATTCCTGTGATGTCTTTTTTTTTTGTTCCATAAAAAAATCTAATGAAAAACTTTCATAATTACCTTGGAATATTTTGTAATTTCAATGGTTGGCACCTCTGGGAAATTAACATGTATTCAACATTGTTGAGATGTCTTGACAAACTTTAGAAAACTCAAAATGAAGACACTTCAGAACAGATTATTTTAATAGCTTGAGATGTATTTCAAACGTAATATTTCAAGTAAAAATGATGGTCTTGTGGACCATCACTATCAGAAAAAAAATGAAAAAAGAAATAGAAAAGAAAAGAAAAAAGAAGAGGGCAAGTTCTATGGTACAGTCTCTGAACAGCATGATAGTGCATGTGCCAGTGAAACAATTATGGTTGAGGCATGAATTCAATAAATTGAGTCTTGGGCTAATTGGATAGGGTTTGATTCGATGGAACCATTGAAATAACTTGTTTTGGCTGGTTGTGGGTTGTGGCAAAGGATGAAAAGATTGGGAGGTCCTGAAAGTACTTTATCTTTTATTCTGTGAGAAAACTGTGAATAAAAACTATCAATCATGAAATGCAAAGAAATTGAAAGGAAAATATTGAAAACACTATGAGATATAGAGATCTGTGATTTATCTCGTACGTCATACCATAATAGATTAATCCGAGTCAAGTCAAATACAGCTTAGTTCTTTTTATGCAGTCCAAGTTTTGTCCCTTTGCACGTTGAAGGTCTTAATGGATATAAATCATGAAATGCTGTCTCCTCTATCTTTCTATAATTTGTTCAAAGCTAAGGGCTAAGGCCCCGTTTGGGAGAGTTATTGTTAAGTAGCTTCAGCGCTCTGCTTTTAAAAGCTTATGAGTTCACTGTGATAGCATTCAGAAAAAGCCAATTCCAAATGCTTATGCTGAAATTAGTAATTCCAGCATTTAGCATTTTGAGGAATATGGACCTGCTTTCCATATTTTTAAACATAGGATGCTTGTTGGGGTTATAAGTCCGAAAACACGTGGAAGCCTTACCAAATCCCACACGGAAATGGGTATCTAAATGTTAACATGATTCATCAGTGATGGGATCTCTTGCGAGCAAAAACTCTGCTCACTCTGAAAGCAGTGGCGTCCGGTTGCACATTGGGAACATCTCCCCATGAATTTTACATACATATATGGGCATTTTACATACATGTATGAGAGATATCCTCGATGTACAGTTGAATGTTGTGTGCAGAGTTTTTGCTTGCAGCGGGAAGTTGGTTGATCAAGACAAGAATGCAGCTTGATTGTATGCTAGTAACCACTGAAATTATGGTGAACTCCCACCCCTCTACGGCTCTACCCACCCTGAGGGCACATGGATTTAACATAAGTATGAAAGATATTCTCAATATATGGCCGGATGCATGTGTGTTCAGCATGTTCGCACAACACTTTTCTTTCAAGAGATCTGCCCACTGGTTTGTGGGATTTTTTTGGTCGATTTTTGTCCAAAATTTGCACGCCATTGTCAATGTAAATGATGAGAAAGATGGTTGTAAAATTGCTGTGTGTGGACAATCATTGATTTGATCACTTGTTTGTATGCATGAGTGACCAAGATTTTGACAAACTTTGTTATTCTTTTTTCATTTTTTTTTGGTAAATTATAGATAGGTATCCTTACTTTGGGGGTAGTGATAAAGTACCATGAACTTTCAACTACAATACTTTTGAGTACCTTGAACTCTCAAAAATAACAATTGGGTCCACTTTTGTTAATTCACATAATGATGTATGATAAAATTACCAAAATGCCCATATATTTTTTAAATTATTAAAATAAAAAAACTGAAAATGACCAAAACAACCCCAATTAAAAGTTTGGTAGTTTTTAGTCTAGGTATTTCTCATTCTAATCCCTACAAATAAGTAGAAGAGAGTTCAATGAAAAGCACTTTGCCAGTAGGGTAGGAAATCGCCAACAAAGCAAAATCATTACCAGAGAATGTCATCGCAAAAAAGAAAAAGGGAAAATTATAGTTAGAGTTAGCTATACATTTAAATTTATGCTACAGGTTGGTTTAAAAACCAACAAAACTTTGGCTGTACATTTCAAATTTTAAAAACCCTCGCCATGTTATGCGGTTGTTTCCAACATAGGACTCTTAATCCATGTTAGGCACAACAAAAAATTTATGCCAAAATCAAAACATCTCTCTCTCTCTCTCTCTTCATTGGTAGATTTCTCATGCTCTCTCGATCTCCATCGTTCTCTCTTAGTCTTTCTCCCACTCTCTCCCTTGTTTTTTTTTTTTCAAAGAAACTTATACGGTATTAATCAGATCGTATAAGTTATAAGTTAGTCAAGGGACCAACAACTTATACAATCAAGTTGGTGTAAAATTTTATAGCCAAGAGTTTCGTGTGAATTTTTATCAAATTGGGCTAAGGGAGTTAGAACCATACCAAGTTGATTTTATGTTCTTTAATACGGTTTGGTTAATACCCTATGAGTGTGTAAGAAAAAAAAAAGAAAAGAACGAGAGAGGGAGCGAGAAAGAAACTAAAAGAGAATGATAGAGATTGAGGAAGAAGGAGAGATCGACCGAGAGAGAGAATGAGGGAGAAGGAGAGATTGATCGAGAGAGAAAATGAGGGAGCAGTGGTTAAATGAGAAACATAATGAGAGATCGAGGGAGAATGGTAGATTGATAGAGAGGGAGAGAACGAGAGAGATTGACTGAGAGAGAATGTAAAACTCTTTTCTCAAATCACACAATCATTTAGCAAGGAGAGACAATTATGAGAGTGATAGAGTGAGAGGGAGATCGAAAGATAGAGGGAATGAGAGAGAAAGTGAAAACCTTTTTTTTCAAGTAATCCATGTTGTATCCAACATGGATTAAGAGCCATGTTGGCAACAACCAATTAAGCCTTTGATGACATGGCAAGGGGCTTTTATAATTTCAAATGTACAACCGGTTGTCAGAGTTTTGTTGGTTTTTGAACCAACCTACAACATCATTTTAAATATTGAGCCAGCTCTAACTATAATTTTCCCAAAAATAAGTGTTGAAACGCCAGCATAGTCCCTTTTAAATGGTGTTAAAAATTTGATATATTATTTGTTGTCCATGTGAGAACGTTATCATGGGGAGAAGTGGACTTTGGAGTGAGGGTAGGAAATTGCCAACGAAGTAAAATCATCACTAGATAATGTTGTCACCAGAAAAAATAGTGTTGAAATGCCAACATAGTTCCTTTTAAATTCTGTCCATGTGAGAACATCATTGTGGGAGAAGTGGCTAGTCCCTTGATTAACTTAATAACTTATACAATATTAATCAGACCGTATAAGTTTAGCTGACAGAAGGATAGTTTTGGCATTATGTAATGTTTAACTGACATATCACGGAATACTAAGACTGGACACAAGTGTCTATTTTTGAGAGTTCAAGGTACTCAAGTATTGAATTGAAAGTTCAGGGTAGCTATTTATCACTACCTCTAAAGTACAGGGTACCTATCTGTAATTTACTTTTTTTTGAAATTTTTAAAAGTAATGTAACTATATAAAGTGATGTACCAAAAAACATAGAAAAATTTAGGCCATCAAACATCTTGACCACTCAAATAATGCATTAAAATCTCTAAAAAAAATCCAGGCCATATAAATGGGGTTTGACTATGTTAATAGAAAAACTTGTAAACAATCAATTGGTATCATAAAAGTGTTAACCAATCAAGTGGTATTTATCAAAATTCATGAGGATTGTGATTGATCAAAGTTTTAACAATATCATGTCTTTCCGTTAGTATGAATTTTTCCTAGAAAATTACCTAAAATCAGTCAAACAATCTCATTCATCCACACAATATACCAAATCAATCAAAAATATAACCATTAAAACAGTCAACCAAGATCACTAAATCAATCTCAATCATTTAATAAATATAACAAGATTTCAATTAAGTCATATAAATAATATACCAAATCAACCAAAAAATAAATGCCACTAATGTGGTCTCCTAGAGAAATGGATGGATCCCATCCATCCAAGTGATGTAGTAGATTATTTCAATCAGTAATGACTTGGATGGTTAAGATTAATTCATTGATA